CGTAATGCACTTAAAGAAATAGGAAAAAAAGTCTTAAATCTAAACACAAAGCTTTAAACACATATTCCATTATTTAAAGCAAAGTTACTCTGCAGCCTTATGGAATATATAACAAAATATACAACAGATGATCACCCCAAGCGAGTCAAGCTTTCAACATCGCCTTCTCAATGACCAGAAAAAAAAATCATTTCAAATGAGCAACAACTGCATAAAGCAGTTCCTCCATACTCAACCTTCAACATTTAAATTTAGGGACCAGAAAAATATTATTAGCATGAACAACGCTGAGTGTTTTCACACAATTAAACATTTATATTGCAACTGAACTAATCTCTCATAAGGCTACAAGAAGAAAGTAAAATGATGTTCCGAACCTGGAACCACTTAGCGTGGCGTAGAGCAGCCAGAGCGTCAAGGCATTTTTGCCTGTCCAAGACGTCCGGTGGGTCTTTCACCATACCCGAGGTTACATCTAAAATGGATTGAATTGGCAAAATGCAGTGAGGAATGGGTGTTTGACCAGGTGAGCAAGACACTTCCTTAAAGTAGCTTCAATGTCACACATGCCATTTAAAGTTTAAACCCTTGAACAACAAATGTAACTGTTCAACAAAAGCCATTCAATTAGGATTAGGGCATCAACCCAGTATGAAGACCAAGAGCATATTATACTTTAGCTCTGAGGTTATTTTCAAATGCATTGCAGATTATGCAATGCGTAGTACTTCTTTATTTAAACTAACACTGCAAAAACACATATCCCCTAAAATTAAATACTGAAGGAAGGATGGTTGGACACAGTGCACCAGCACAGAGAACACAAGACAGAAGGAACACAAAAATCCACTTTAACCAAGTAGGATTCAAACTTAGTTTCTTGTAAATTTTAGTGGTCACATACTATTTGGGACCTATTTTTAAAAGAAAAACTAAGTATAACAAATCTTAAAAGCACTAGATTTTAGTAATGCTGTTATTTTTATCATGCCTTAAACTTGAAATTATTATGCTTTAAAAACCTAACTAAAGGAATGTGAAATGTTCTTCAATATTACAGAGTTCCATAACTTTCTAGTACCCTACTCATATAAATAAAATTCCTCAGCCCATAATATATGCGCTCCAATATCATTTAGGATGCAAGGAAGGATCTCAAAAGGGACTGCTTTACTTTTTCAGGAAAAAGAAAAGCAAGGAATAGTTCAAAAAACAAAGCAAAATGTCTGAAAGGTAAAAAAAATATTGTAGATCTTGTATATTTAAATGATCAGGATTTAATTACTAAGCTGATTGCTTTGTTACCAAACAAGAAGAGACTACAGGCCCTTTTGGAATTGGTTTAATCAATGACAGTGGAACCACCGAACAACGTGAAATCAGGTTATTTAAAAATTGTCCAGATATAATGCAGCGATGAACTTTAAAAGTTCTTTGTTTTACTAATTATGAAAATGGCTATTGTGACTAGTAACAAAGTATATTGGTGTAGCATAACTGGTGATATACCAGGTAACATGAAACAAAAAGCCCTCACTCAATGGCACTCATCTCACAGGAGCTGGATGTATGGAACAATATAGTTTACTCCAGCAAGATATAAATTCAGGTAAGTCAAGAATAAAATTTTTAAAAAATAAATATTGAGACTCATTAAACATGCCTGCAACAAGAAGCTTTTAGGGATGCTGCAAAAAGGCAGCTCTGAAACCACTCATTTTACACAAATATAAAATAAATAGTAGGATACTTTACTATACAGAGAGCTAAAAATCCATTAATGGACATCGTGGTACAACTTTGCAATATAATAATTAAATTTAATCTGAAGTACTACATTCAGATTTGAGCATTTTTAATAGGATAGTCCCATTGCTCTGCACAGGGCTAAAATGGGGAGGATTTCAAAATAAGAATGAAGCTGAGAAGAACACAGGTATCTTCTCACACAGATATTCAAACTTATGGACTATATGTTAAAGTGGAAAGATGAAAATCTGCACCAACAAGGCATTTACAGAGCAAATGAAGACATTTAAAGCAGTGTTTCCTTTAAAACAAAATGAAACAACAAAAAAACCCCACAACCAACCAAACAAAAACCCAAACCAAACCCAAACCTATACAAGGGAGGTGCCAGGTAAGATAACTGATGAAGTGAGTACAACCTGGATATAAGAGACAAGGGATACATTTAGAGAAAACCCACAGCAGGAAAAAAGTGGCAAAGTAAGGTTGAGAAATTAAAAATAAAAATATGAGTTGTTGGGTCTAGAAGACTAATCGGTAAATTATTTACATTTTTCTAAAACTAATATGCAAATAGGTGACACTGTGCAAACTTTTAGCACAATAATTCATTACATAATTTAAAACTCCAATTACATCTAGCTCTGAAAAACTTTGATTTGGAAAATACTTTTACTCAAAAGAATTACAGTTTAAATCACCAAAGAGAATCTTACTCAGTGTAAGATTCTAACTTACTCTTACTCGATCTAAAATGTGCTACTAATAGATATCACATGAATACCCTTGAAACTTAAAAAGACTCTGAAAGTCATAAGTTGCCAAGGCACCTATTGCACCAAGAATATACGGACGGAAAGACTGTATCAAGGAAACTCTTGTAATATTTAATCTGTGGATTTTTGCATCTGTTTCACATTTCAGGATTAACCCCTTAAAGACTACTTAACTAAATTCAGATGCCTAACCTACCACCCTGTTAAGCTAAGACAAAAAACTGAATTAATTTACATAACACAAGCACGAATTCTTACCCTATATAACTTAATTTATTACTAGCCTAATTATAAGGGGTTAATCTTCAGTTAGACATGCTGTGTCCACACTACCTCTTCATTAAAATTTAACAGGTATATCAATTTTGTTAAGTTTTGTTATGTGAAATAGATTTTACCCAGTCAACTATTTCAAGACTAGTGTGAACACTGCTTAATTCTAGGAGAGAGACAAAGACGAAAAGGAAAAAAAAAAACACAACGTAACAGTAGATGCTAGGACTATGCATCCAAACCCCCTCCTTTGTAAAGCATGGCAGGTGTGACACTGAGCTTTAGAAAACCTTGGTCAAAAATCCTTCCGATGTCTTGGCAGCAACCCCTGACAGGAATCAAGTCCCTCTGCTAGAAGGCTTTGGACCGGGGCTGTTAGCTAGGGATAAAAAAGACACACGCGCACACATATATGCGTTTATAAGTATATACACTTTGTTTGCTGAAGGAAAGATTCCACAGCAGGGGTTAGAGCACTTTGAATATATCAGATTCAGTAAACTGTCAAACGCACAATACTGTAAGAAACAGTAGCTATGCGGTTAACAATTTTATTTCACTGTATTTTTTTTAGCCTTTTATCATGTAATGGGATTATTACACATCAAACATGATTCTACTCCATGTGCAAGTCTCAATCTCATCTTTGCTCAAACTGGTTCTTCCGGTAAAGCCTTCCTTATCACCTGAACTAGCTCCCCAAGCGGGCTAAAAAAAATGAAAACTTTAAACCATTGTAAGACACAGAGCATGAGAAGCTGCAGTAAGAAAAAACACACATACTGTTACTCTGCAGCAAATAAGCAGCAGTCTTCACAATAAGGCCTTCTTTGCTGCAATAATTTGCAATTCAGTCTTCTATTTGCTCTAGTTTCAAAAGTGAACTTTTCTGCACATCCATTTTATACTGCTCAGTGTCTTGAAGAGAAATCTAACTTGATTTTGCTTGCCTAGAGGCAGTACTGCATTCAGCAGTGAATAAACTCACAATGATCATTTTAACTCAAGTGTGGGTCAGACAAAAATACAGATTTGTTTCCTTTAGGTGGCATAAATTAAGGGATTGATGGTAGTAATTTGAAATTAATTTCACTTCTAGTCCACATCACAGAATTTTAGGCCAGAAATTGAGTATTGTGGCAGGAATCAATATTGCACTTTTGCACCGTACATTAAGAAATAAACATAGTGTTTAAGGTTAACTTCATTTAATGGTTAATCTAATTTAATAGTCAAATCTTTTAAGTTAAAGTATTCTTTATAAATGTAAATAATATGTTAAGTTAGATTCAGCACAGACAAACCAAGAGTCATGTTACACTTAGATTGTCAAAGAACAAGTAAAATCGGTTGGGTGTGACAGTACATGTACAAAGCCTTTATAGATAGGAATACTATGCATAACTTAAAAATCATGTACAAAGCACTCTTTAAAGACTCTTCAGAAGTCATCCACACAAGAGAATGCATCTTGAAATTTTTCTTTCTAGTTATGTAGGATGACTTTGTTAACACAGCTTGGTTACAATGCACTAGTCACAGCTACAGGACATTTACTAATGCAATATAAAAACCTCAAGTATTTTCGAGGACATGTAATGATGAGATGAAATAAAAAAACCTCCATGGCTTATATAAATACGTATATACACAAGCACATGTATACATACACACATACAATTTTTTTCAACCTGCATATGAGAAGTGTTAACATAGCCTCAGATTTCCGATTTGTAGGTTCCCTGTCAAACATCAGAACCCTGTTTGCCATGATCTCTTTCAACTATGAAAATATAGGATTAAAAGGAAACAAAAGTTAATTTTATCTGACCCGTAAACAAAAAGAACCAATGTACTGCAGACATTAATCATGCTTGTTGGCTTAAAAGCTTTTGGAGCTTTGAAAGTGTTACAGAACAGACCCTAAAGCAACACTGCTGGCACCAGAGAAACTGTGGACTTCAGAAATGTAGATTGATTTACAAGCTCTACCTTCTGCTTCAGCTCAACGACAAAGCCATTTCTTATTATACTAGTCTGGGTTTGCCAGTTGGATAGAAGACTGATTGTAATACCAGGAGCCTAAATATACTCAAAAAAAGCACTCCAGAACAAAAAGCAACCTCAGAGAGCTGGAAAAAATCGCATAATCTTTTAAAGTTAGAAGCAATGTTATCATCAAAAGTATTATAAAAGTGCATTTCAAGTGGCGTTGCTATTTGGTATATGTAAGTGATGGTAATACTGATCCGGTTTAAAGCCAAAAACCTGCGATTTGATTTTCTGAAACCATACAATCTTTCTCTTAGTGCAAGACTTCTCTAGAAAGCCACTTGCTATAAAATACTTAGTTTTCCACATAATTTTGAAAGGGGGGCAAAAATAGTCAAGTTTGTACCTTTTCCAGAAAGCTGAGGTTGGACATAAACTTAGAAATTTTAAAAATTGAATGAACACATCATATAAGCATTTATTTTAACCAACTGTTCTCTGCTGAGACTGGTTGATGAAAAACAAGGTTTCGATCAAATACATGTGCCAGCATGTTGCCTTCCAGGACCTTAATGCCATCTCTTAAGCAGAATAGATAAACATAAAAAAACAGGTGAGAAAGAAGTAACATCTTTAACAACTTCCCAACCTCCATCCCTCATGTTCTCCTCCCGAATGACTGGAGATGTCAGTGTGATAGTAACTTGCATTTTGGGTTCCACACATGAATTTAAAATTATTGCTGCTTCTGGGACTGCACACTTGATATCGTATTTCTCAGGACTTATTACCTAAATACCGAGAAACAGAAATTTCTATTAGCACATGGCCAATAAAAGTATGGGGAAGAAAATGGATTTCAACATAGTCTTTTTAAGAGAAAGACAGAAATGCAATACAATTATATGAAGTAGGTATCTCTCTAATCAAAGAAACGGCAGTATACACAATCAAGATATATATAGATACATATAGTTATTTGGACTTGCATACTGTTTCCAAATCATCAATGAAAATACACAGCAGTCACCAAGCATGCAAAAGAAAAAGAACTGCCCAGAAAGGAAACTCATGTACAAGTAAGTTACATAACAAGAACCTTGACGGTGTTTGAGATAAAGAAAAGCCTCAGTGCCACTTAATATGTCAGCTGGATATGTTTCTCATTGGAACATAGGAGCCTCAAAAAAGCACAAAGATGCACTGGTGGTTGTTCAAGTTTGCAGTTACAGGATGGGTACTGCTAGGTACATTCTATACTTGGCTGTCACAACATGCTAAGAACAAGGGGCAAGATAAACACCAGAGAAAAAAATGTAAGAGTAACTAACAAGGTGGTTATACCAAATTGCTTCTTGCAACTAGATTTAATAACTCTAAATAACCACAAAAGGAAGCTGTAGGCACCTCTGCCACCTTCTTCCACAAACTAGAGGGACAAGTGACTTCTCCACAAAGCCAGACCAAGATGTGCAGTTTTTAAATTTTCTTCTGTTCTGTTACTTCAAACAAGAGCAAACTCAGGATTATTTTCTCATTAATCTGATCCTGCTAAAGCTTCTACCATGCCACTGATTCTGCTGAACATTTCACCACACAGTACTGAAATACTAATGCTGTGACAAGTATTCAGTAACAATGGTGGACAGGCTTTGTTCAGCAGAGAACAGAGACTTTATTCTATACTTTCATTTCTTGTGGAAATACAGCAAATGGTTTATATGAATTCTGCTGAATGGTCTAAAACTGAAAGTCCTTTTTTTTTTAAAGAAGGTCAAATTAAACCAAAACCCACACAAAGCACTGACACATACAAACTGGAAACAAGATGTAAATACAAACAGTCTGGCATTAATGGAGAACTTTGACCTTCAGGCAGCAAGCTTCCTGTAACACTGCACAAATTACCTGTGTCTCTGCTGGTAACTGGGTAATAGCCTTTCTTCTGTTCATTTCTATTCCCCAATTAAACAAAATCTATTACATAATGATTGATGCTACACCGCTAGTGTAAACATCTAGACACTTGTATGGATACAATAAAGCAAAACATACAGCATAGTCCCTGAATTCAGATGGAAACACTCAGAAAATAGAAAAGTTGAATCTGAGCTATGAAATGTGGCACAGTGAGCCCTGCAGACATTTAAATTGAGGATAGATTTTTACAGTGTTTTTACAAAAATTCAGATTCAAAAATCTAAATTCTACTTACTGCAAGTTGTTTGGGGAGACTTTCAGCGATACGACTGAGTAACGTCTTTGAAGGCTTCTCAGCACATAACAAAACAAGATTGACATTTCGGTCTCCACGGAGTAGCAAACCTTTAGCCAAAACGCCTACCCGTAAAACTCCTTTCAAAGCTCTGTAAATTATAGTTAAAAGTTGCATTTAACATAATATAAAAATCTTAAAACTAATCCTGAAGATAGAAAAGCAAAGTAAAATAGCAGTATTCAACATACTTTTGAAGCCATAGTGACACATACTGTAAGAGAATTCCTGAAAGCACTGATAACTTAAAAAGTAAGAAAAGAAATACCTGTCTTTACTCCCATCTTTTTTGTCATCTCCCTCTTTGTTCTTGCTTTTTTCATGATCAGTCATGTTATCAGAAACAAGTTTCAAAGCACGCTCAGTAATAGAAACAATTTTTTGAACTGCTTGAAGTTCCTCCTCTGTTGGATATATAGCGGCATGTTTGGTCATCACATAGCGGTCATCAGAGGAGTCAGGGCGGCGTAGAGGCTAAAAAGACAAAAAAGCATACTTCTGAAATCTGGGTATACTTCCAAGTTCACAAATGATAAATGACCAAAACCCAAACATGTGGCTTAACAACAGAATAGTCAAACCTCAAATTGCTGAAATTTAACAAAATATGAACTGAAACATCCTTAACAACCTATGCTGGTCGCAACCAATCATGTCTGAAAAAACATGAAATGTATCAAAATTAAACAAATTATGAAAACCCAGGATCAAAAGTATCTCCCCAACACAAATATCTATCAACTATCAACTGGAAAATACTTGCAAATTTCTGCAAAATAAAGCATCCATGATTTCTTTCATAGAACCACAGGAGATTTCAAATAGGAAGGGACCTCAGAAGGTCCTCTAGTTCAACCTCCTGTGCAAACCATGGTCAGTTATGAGATCATACCACGTTGCTCAAGGCTTTATCCAATTGGCTCTTGAAAACCGCCAAAGATGGAGGCTGCACAACATCTGTGTGAAAAAAATTACTTCCTGTATTCAATCTGAACCTCTTTTGTCTCTGCTCAAGCTGGTTGTACCTCACCCTCTCATGACTCTCTCGCCCTCTCATATCTTCATCAATGACAGACAGCCAGATCAAGTGCACCCTCATCAAGTTTGCACACAATAACAAGCCACGTTGTACAGTTGAGAGGCCTGAGGGACAAGATGTCATCCAGAGTGACCTGGAAAAGCTCAAGAAGTGGGCCTGTGTGAACCTCATGAAGTTCAACAAAGCCAAGTGCAAGGTCCTGCAGATGGGTCGGGGCAACCCCCAGTATCAATACAGGTTGGGGGATGATGTGATCGAGAACAGCCCCATGGAGAAGGACATGGGCGAACTGGTGGATGAAAAGCTGGACATGACCCGGTAATGTGCGACTGCAGCCCAAAAGGCCAACCGTATCCTGGGCTGCATCCAAAGCAGCATGACCAGCAGGTCGAGGGAGGGCATTGTGCCTCTCTGCTCCGCTCTGGTAAGACCCCTGCTGCAGTACTGCCTTCAGCTCTGGGGTCCTCAGATGGAGATGGACCTATTGGAGTGAGTCCAGAGGAGGGCCATAAAGATGATTCGAGGGCTGAAGCACCTCTGAACCTCTGAAAGGCTGAGAGAGGTGGAGTTGTTCAGCTGGAGAAGAGAAGGCTACGGGGACACCTTATTGCAGCCCTCCAGTAATTAAAAGGGGCTTATAAGAAAGGTGGGGACAGACTTTTTAGTAAGGTCTGTTGCGACAGGACAAGGGGTAATGGTTTTAAACTACAGGAAGGTAGATTTAGACTAGATACAAGAAAGAAATTTTTTATGATGAGGGTGGTGAAACACTGGAACAGGTTGCACAGAGAGGCTCACTGTGCCACTGTGCCAGTAGATGTCCCATCCCTGGAAACATTCAAGGTCAGGCTGGATGCGGCTTTGAGCAACCTGGTCTAGTTGAAGATGTCCCTGTTCATTGCAGGGGTGTTGGACTAGATGACCTTTAAAGGTTCCTTACAATCCAAAGTATTCTATAATTCTATGATTCTATGACTGTAAAGAGCCTGGCTCCATTGTCTTTATAACTCACAGGTATTAGAAGGCTATTATGTCCCCCTGAAGCTCTCACTTCTCCAGGCTGAACAAGCTCAGATCTCTCAGTCTCTCCTCACAGGCCACAGGACTGCTGGCCATCCTGGTAGCCCCACACTGAACCTGCTATGGTTTACAGTATCTTTCTTGTACTGGAAAGCCCAAAACTGAATGTAGTATCACAGTTTGGGTTCAATGAAAGCTGATCACTTGCCTTCATCTACTGATTATGCCCCTGTTAACATAGCCCAGGATGATGTTGGCCGTCACTGCTGCCAGGGCACACTGTGGACTCATGTTCAGTTTGTTACCTGCCAC